TGAAAAATTCGTAAGTAGGGGCGTTCGTAAGTAGAGGCAATTTCGTAAATAGAGGTAAATTTTTGGGGCCAGAGCTGGTCGTATCTTGAAAAATTCGTAAGTAGGGGCGTTCGTAAGTAGAGGTACCACTGTACTTGTATGAATATCCCATTATACTGTAAAGTTATCAGCTTTTTCATATACACACACAAATCTATATACTCGGACAAACATTGAACAGTAATACAAATTTTATAGGTGTAGGCTATTCTTTGTGGTACTCTTACATTTATTATTCAAGCTTTTAGGTAGTGCTAAAGAGAGATGCACAGTATGTTTTTAATTCTAATTAAATCTAAAACACCTCATTTTTCAGTGCAAAATAGCTTTCCTCTGTAGGAAATGGGATATTTTTAGCATTTTGGAAGTGTTTTGAACTTGAAACAGCTGTTTCGAAGTATTCTGAAAAACTCACAATAGTCTGTTTACATTAAAAATGAAGTGTTTCAACTTTGAAATGGTTTGTTTAGAAATGTTCTGCTTATTCTTGGTGCTAAACCACTATTCTATCAGTGGCTCATGATTTCAGTTGCAATAAAATTGCTGTTCCTATTGTATATTCTGTTTTTCCTTGATACGCTTGCTGAAGTAATACATGCAATTCATTCTTGAAGTATAGGCATTCTTTGGAAATGAATTTTTCTAAACAACTAATAAATACACTTTTAGCTATGTAAAAAACCCTCCAGACTGTGAAAAAGAGGGTAGGGTGGGGTTTAATGATTAACATGAATTGAGTAGATATGCAGGTGGAATGTCCCCCACTACTGTTCTGTAGCAGAAAATTCTTTATCTGGTATTTACTTTGAGTGAAATCTCTATGCCAATGAGGGATTTTTCTCAGGATTGATGCAGTGGATAAAAGGGGTAATTTCTATCTCCATGTCAATTTAATCCATGTTAATTTCTGAGACAGGAGAGCAATATTCTCCTGCATTTGGAAGTGTCTCTCAAACATAGACAGCTAAGAAAAATAAAAAGACTTGACCTATATGTCCATTTTTCCTTTTCACCCTCAGTTACATCAGTGCAGGAATATGGAATGGATATGAAAATAACATTTTGACTCACAGCATTCTTACATATTCATGCATGAGTTTTCCTTTAACTACCAGTTTTCTGTATCTTATTTAGAGCAGATCTGTATGCTTAAAGTTGCTACTGCATTTTCTTTGCATAATGAAACCATGACAAGGCAAACAAGATGATTTGCATAGGAGCGTATAAAGTTTAATTATCATATTGTTGCATTTCTTAAATGGCACTTTTCTTTTTTAGGCACCTACACCTCAACAAGAAAGCAACAGACAAACAACCATATAGCAAGCTTCCAGGTGTTTCACTTTTGAAGCCTTTAAAGGGTGTTGATCCTAACCTTATTAACAACTTGGAAACCTTCTTTGAATTGGATTATCCCAAAGTATGTATCAAAGTATTTCTTAGTGGACAAAAAAAAAAACCCTAGCATTCTGTGTTTTTGTCACCATGATCAATAAAGCATTTTAATGAATGATAGCCAGTTTGGTGTAGTGGTTAAGGCACCAGGCTAGAAACCAGAAGACCGTGGGTTCTAGTCCCACCTCAGGCACAAAGCCAGCTGGGTGGCCTTGGGCCAGCCCCTCCCTCTCAGCTCTAGGAAGCAGGCAAAGGTAAGCCCCTTCTGGAAAACCTCACCAAGAAGACTGCAGGGACTTGTGCAGGCGGTCACCAGGAGTCAACACTGACTCAAAGGCACAAAAAACCCAAAACAAACAAAAAAGCACCAACAAAAGAAAACAAACCCCCAGAAAGATGTAGTGTAGCAATATCTTCAGGACCACAGATTCTCCAGTGGACTGGATTCCTAAGTTGAATGTTCATTTATTTCTTTCCCACTAATTGGCATCTTCTTGTGTAATCAGCATCATATAATATTTAATATATATGAGGATAGCAATTAAATTTAAATTTAGATTTTTTTATCTACTTATATTTACTTCTTTGAAATTACTTCTAATTTCAAAATAATTGGTACTGAGGATAGTGTTAAGCCAACGATGTTTATAAATTCCTGGAGGATCCCCAGTTTTCAGAATAATACAGTGGGCAAAGGAAGGAGCAATCCCTTTGTTAGCAATTATTATTAGATCTCTCTCTCTCTCTCTCTCTCTCTCTCCCTCTCCCCCTCCCTCCCTCCCTCTCTCTTTCTCTCTCTCTCTCGGCAGCAAACATACGTAATACTCCTGCCTCTTATTTTTCCCACAACAACCACCCTGTGATGTGAGTTGGGCTGAGAAAGAGTAACTGGCCCAAAGTCACCCAGCTGATTTCATGACTAAGGGAGGCCTAGAATTCACAGTCTCCTATACCAAACTGGCTCTCAATATTTTTTTCTTTTTTTCCTTCTATTGTAATGTCATAAACCTTGATACATTGTATTATTTTGATGCAGTAATATTTATATAATGTGATTAAAATTTATAAACATTCTATTATTTAGGAAGCTTAAAGTATTGAAAATAAGAAGTAAAAATTCTATCAATATTAATTGAGGATCATTTTCCTAATAAATAAATGAACAAGTATAATGTTTATAACTTATTTATTTAATTGGGTTCTCTTTATCTAGTTTTAGGGCTTGGCGGGATAACAGATCACATTTTAGGTCACATTTATGCAGAAATACTGAAAATTCAAAAGGGTTCATCAACTTTTAAGCACCACTATATTAATGTTGTCTGAGATAAGCTGTAATCATTGGCAAACCCCCAGGATTATTTAAAATGTATAGATATTGTAGTTACAACATCCTTTTTGGAATTCAAGCAATAGCACACTAGACTAAGTTGTTCTTCTAAGCTGCAGATGGGTTATTGTCTTCCATTTGAAAAAGGAAAAGGAAAGAGAAAAGAGATGTTAAGAAATAACTTGAATAACTCCAGTAAGAAAAGCCCTAAATAAAGCTACTTCGGCAGCATATTATGTAATAACAAACATGTTGTTGTTTGTTGTTTGTTACTTCTAGGCCTGGAATAGGCAAACTTGTGCCCTTTAGATTTACACTTTTATCAGCCACAGCTGGCATGGTGAATGGCGGGGGATTTTAGGAGTCATTCAGTGACTATTGGTAAATGTAGAAAAGGCTCAGTTGGTTCTAGTTCAAACTTTCCAAAGCAAAGATTAAAAAATGATGTATACACAGTGCTTGTGCCAAGCAAAAAGAATATTTTGCTAAATAACGGATGTCTTAAATTAAGACTTTATAAACTAGCCAGTTACTAAACTGTGGAAATATAAATGCAAATGTATAAATAAAAACATTTTTCATTTATCAGAAAGATAGCATTCTCTAGTCATGAACAATGAATGAATGAAGCATTTGTTTCACAAGATGCTTTTGTTATTCCAAAGCTGGAATAAGAAAATAATATTTTTTTATAAGGAGCTGTGTGTGTTAATATTCATTTTAGCATGTCATGAAACAGGTTGAAGTTACATGAATTGTTCTTATCTTGATGATGAAATTATGAAATTATTAGAATTCCATGATGTTATAGCACTGGAAGCATATTTTGATTTGTTTTTTATTAATTTTAATATATAAAAACAAAAAGGAAAAAGAACAAATTAACAACAATTCGATATGTCTGGTGTTCCATATGAAAAAGAGATAATGTTTCCTCCTGTTTTCTTCAGGATAGTGAAAAAGCGTATGATAACTATATGCTAACTACATGCAAAAGAAGAGATGGAATATTATCAAGAAAGAGTCTTTCTGTTTCCTGGACTTAGATTCTCCAATTTATATAGTGCCATATAGAGGTGTCAAGAGCACTGTCTGGACCATTTTTGTTGGTTGAATTTCAGTTATTTGTGTCTGAGCCTTTATATACCCAACCTTTTGTTTTCATAGATTAATCTAGCAGGAAAGATGTAGTTTGCTAAGTCCAGAAGGTCGTAAGGCATTCTTGAGAGATGGAGGAGACTCAGTGTGCTTGAAACCAGAGGCGAGTGTTGTGTTTTCCGGCTGTTTTTGAGAAAAATGGTTTTGGTGGTGGCCCTCAGGGGTAACGTTTGTCAGGAGAGAGAGTCATACTAGTGTGACCTTCTTCATTTTCCTGGACCTCTCAGCACTCTTTTATACTACTAGTCCAGGTGTTCTTCTAGATAGATAGACACTCTTGAGTTGGGTGTGAGGAAACACTGGTGGTCAGGTCAGGGGTTGTGCTCTGAAATGAAGGGCCTTTTCCAGGAAGTGGTGCATGGGATTATTGCTAATGCCATTGATTGACTGATTGTCTTACTTTATTTGTATGCCCCCTGCTCTCAAAGGCTCAGAGCAGCTGACAGTCAAAAACAAATCCTAGACTGAAAAAACAACTCCTCAAAAATAATGAATAAACCCAAATATACTATAAACAAAATTAATAGCAGTATCCAAACTATCAACAGTAGACAAAGCCATGCACCTGCTAGATTCAGACCATCATAACATGCCTTCCTCCTCTGCAAGAAGGAACATACAGCTCTTAACTGCTCTCCCAAAACCCCAGAGTGAAAGCACTGACTGGATCTCCATGGGAACGGAATTCCAAAACATGAGGGCAGTGATCAAGAATGCCTGCTTCCAGAATCCCATCAAGATTCTTGTGTAGATGAGACCCAGAGGGAGTTGACCCAAGACAGTCCCACAGAGAACCCAGTCTAGAGCCATGTAGGGCTTTAAAGATGACAGTCAGTCCTTTGAATTGATATTTTTTCCCCCTTCCATAGGATGGAAGGAAGGAAGAGGTGTGTGTGTGTGTGTGTAGAAATAAAAATTAATGCTAGAAAAAGTCTTTTGCAGATTTAGTTTGAGGTGATATCAAGTTCTTTTTTTGCCTAGCAGATGCAGTCAAGGCTATGGAAGTCAAGGCTTGGAAATGGTAATAGACTGGATGAGGATGAACAAATATGAGATTTAATTCAGATAAAATGGATATGCAGTTGGATGATTATCCAGTCAGGTGAATAATATTCAACTTTCTGGAAAGTTTTAAACTCCCTCTTAATATCATGGTTTTAGTTTGGGGAGTTTTTTAATTGTAGTTAATTCAGGTTCTAGTAACTACTGTGGCTCAAATAATCTTTTATTAACTTCAGCTGATATCTCAGCTGCAACCACATCATCATGAATATTGTTGGCCCATCACCCACTCTTTGGAAATCTTTAAGAATGTAGTATATGAGGTTGACTTTTAAGGACTATTTGGAAACTATAGTTGGTTCAAAATAAAGCACAAGATTATTATTGGGACTTCATCTTCCAGTCATAATTATTCTGACTCCCAGTCCAATTTTCAAGCTCATTTCACAGTGCTATGAATTTAATATTTAAAACCCTAAATGGCTTGAGGCCAGGCTGTGTGAAAGATCACCTTCATCTCTACTTATATCTCTGAATCTTAAGAGTCTTTTTGGAGACATTGCTCCATGTTGTGGCAAGCAAAATGAAGTACAGTGGGGCAAAAAAGTATTTAGTCAGTCACCAATTGTGCAAGGTCTCCCACTTAAAAAGATGAGAGA